GCGCATCCGCTGCATGGTTGAGCTTGCCTGAATATGAATGGCGTGCAGCGATTTCAGCCGCGGATGACTCCTGAGGAGCAGACAGCGGGCAAGCTGAGAGATGCGGCGAGAGCGCATACCCCCCATACGGGTGATATACGCCGCCGCCGCCGCCGCCGTACTGTCCATCCTGACCAGCACGTGTTGCTGCTCTAGCACCGGAAAAAAACAGTGGAGAGCGTGGTACATTGCCAACAGCTCCAGGCGATATGCCAATGCAACTAGGTACCTTTCCAGGTCCGCAGCCGCATGCCCACAACGCACAGCCCCCCAGCCCGTGTTGGAAGCGTCTGTTGATACAACAACAAGACTGGATGCCTGTCCTAGAGGCACTCAGGCCTGTAGGAATGAGAGGTTTCTCCAAGGGCTGAGGGCGCAGCGACACAGCGCAGTAACAGAGACTCGGTGTGCGCGCACGCGCCATGCGCGTCTAGGGACTCGATCGTGAAGCCAGTGCTGATGTGCTCTCATATAGTGTAATCCGAGCGGCGTGAAGCGGCTGCGGAGGCCATATGCCCCAGGAGCCTCTGAAATACTTTCAATGGGACCACTATTTTACTGTCGAGCTCTCTCAGACAGTACTGCATCAGCTGAGCGCGCTCTCTGGAGAGGTGCGCTGCCATGGTGACCGAGTCCAGTTCCAGCCCGAGAGAAGAGATCCTTTGCAGGGGGGCGAGTTTGCACTTTTCTCGGTTGACCTGAAACCCCAACAGGTGGAAGTGCCGGAGCGCTTTGTTTCTGTGCATAATCAATTGCTCAGAGAGTGGGCAAAAATCAGCCAGTCATCAAGAAAATTGAGTATGCGGATGCCCGCGAGCCGAAGGGGCACTAAGGCACCCTCTGCAGGCTTAGTGAGGACCCGCGGAGACAGAGAAAGCCCAAAGGGGAGGGCTTTGTATTGCCAAGCTCGACCTTCAAATGCAAACCGTAGAAACTGACGGTGGCGAGGAAGAGTGGAGACATGAAAATACGCGTCCATCAGGTCTAGTGCTGCAGACCAACCCAGAAGACGAACGCACTGGAGGATGCGCTTCTGCGTGAGCATTCTGAACGGCAGCTTGTGCAGACAGCGGTTCAAAACGTGCAGATCTAGGATTGGCCGTGACCCACCGCTCTTTTGGGCATGATGAAGTGTGGGCTGTAAAACCCGCTCTCCATTTCAGCTGGAGGGAGCGGCTCGATTGCATCCTTTGCCAGGAGGACAGCAATCTCCTCTCGCAAGACAGGGGCGGACAGGGGGCTGACCCTGGTGAATACACACCCGTGACTTGGGGGGCCGTTTCGCGTACTGAATCGCATAGCCGAGTCTGACCAGGCACTAATCAGGCAGGCAGAGCTCTCGCTAATGGACTCATCGCTACAATCGCTGACGTACCAGCAGTGGGGCAGTGGGAGTGGGTGGGCTGATACTGGAAGCGCCACGGTCCCACGGAAGAGCTGGAGGTGAGAGATTTGCTCTCACTCCGCACCCGAGCTCCGGAGGGAAGGCTTGAGGGGTGGGAGAAAGGAGACCGTCCTCCCTACGCTCGTGAGCCACTGGCGAAACGCACCTAATCTGCAAGCTAGAAAGCATAGCGTCCCAGACTGGCAGATATCGGGCTGTCACATCCGGGAAAGTTGAAAAGTGCTCTTTCATGATGTTTTCATGGCAGTAAAAAGTGCCGTTGGAAATGGGGCCCCGCCCTCCAGCGGGGAAAGAGCAAGTTCCCTCTTCTTCAGATGGCCTGTCCCAGGGACGCTTTGCGTTCTGTTGCCGGACTTAGCGAAGTTCTGGGCAGGGGGGCTGCCTGCTTCCGAGGTACTCGACGCGCTCGCTTCGCCAGAAGCCTGTGCGGGGGCGGTGCAGCTCTCGTAGGTATTATGACCTAAACTGGTCACCACAAATAAGGAGAAGTCGAGTGCAATTACGGTAGAAAAATATATTTATTTACTGTTATCAAAGGTCATGTTGCTAGCCCACTCGGGTCCAATACCGATCCCAGACGAAAAGTAAGTGACCAGATTCCACGTGCAGCCTCCTTGATCCTCGTCTGAAATGAACACGCTATTTATAGCAGAACAACTCAATCACAAACCGGTGTTCTCAATCCCGGCGCATTCAGCTGGACCTGCAACACACACACACAGACGCACAGACCGACACCCACACTCCAGCCACAAATGACCACAAGGGGTTGTCACATAGGCGGGCGCGTTCGGCGAGGAGCAGGTATGGATGGCACGGCGGGCGGAGCGGGCTTACGGACCGGCTGATAAGACATCACCCATCAGACTGCTCTCTCACTGCCTCGAATTCCTGGGTGAATTCACAGATGGTGTCGCCGAACATGCTAGCTTCGGATATGGGGAAGTCAAGAAAGCAGACTTTGTCGACATATCAGCTGGGGTTGGCGCTCATGGATCACTAGTGTGGACATCGTCCTCCCCAACGCACACGTAGCAGACTTAGTAGTCCGAAGAGCTTAGTCGGCGGCGGTGCAAAGCTCATAAGCCTGGGTTGGACCCACCCTTGTGCAGCTCAGCCAGCGCCTGCGCTTGGTAGCGCTGGTAGGTGGCTATCGCATGCAAGGCGGAAGCAGCCTGGCCCGCAGTCTTGTAAGCTCTAGCACTGAGGGAGGCAGATAACTTACAGGCTTTGGATGGGAGACGAGGCGGACCCTGCCATGAAGAGGCGCTGCGCGGATTAACCGCCATCGCGCACTCAACCTGAGGAATCGCCACATACCCCCTGGCTGTTCCATCGTCAAGAGTGGTTAGGGTGGAGGGACACGCAGCACAAGCAGAAAAAAGTGCCCTTCAAGACCGCGTGACCCTACTGTGCACCTCCAGGAAGAAGGGGAAGCCCCTCTAGTCAGTCCGGCCGCAGAGCTGGGGGATAAACCATCTCCAACCCACGGCCGAAGCAGCCCGGAAAAGCACGGCTAAAATGTCCGTTTCAGGATCCAATTTGACAGCGCTCACCTGCCCGGAGGGGCGAGCGGTTCTGGATCATCATCAGTCAATGAAAGCCCACCCTCCGATGCCGCGGTGGACGTCTGGTCTCTGGTGTCATCGAGCGTAAGGGCTACCATCTGTTAGATGGATCGCTTCCCCCGCCCGAAGCTTGGATGGAGCGCTTGGAAGAGCGGGAGGTCTGCGGGCCCTTGGGCGACGGATTATCTCTTGCTGAAACCCTCAGATCTGCCCGAGTGACCGCTACAGAGCAGGGGACAACTGGGGTGGTTTGCCCTTTTGCAAAGACTAGCCCCGATCTTTACTGCACAACAGTCATGGCATCGCAATGACGACATATACTGCCCGCGAGCAGCGCATTAACATGCTGGACCCCCCAGGCATGCAACGCAGTTCCCGTGCCCATCATCCGAGGACAGCTGGGATAATTGGCAATGAAGCACTCTTCACATTCAATACTCTTTCAGACAAGCGGCTTCTGAACCGAAACCTCCCATACGTGGATTTTCAAAATCAAATCCACTGTATAGCACTGAAGTTCCCCAACCGAAGGGGAACCAATTTATTGCCCAGTAAGCATAAAAAACCAAGACTCGAGGCTGATCTTGAGGAGCTCTTTGGATGTAACTACAGAAGCCGCAGTCCAACGTTGAAACAGCCAACTACCATTGAAGACGAAATTCAAGATTTTTCCAGATGCCTGACATTCCCACTATGGGGAATCCTCTCGAAGGGTGGTCAGCTAATGAACACCTGTTTCCAAGACTATCTAATCTAGCGAAATCATTTCTCGCTGTCCAAGACAACTTTATTAAATGTTTTAATTATGAATACTTCGCTATGAATGAGTTTTTAGGATTCTCATTCTGTATTTCGTGAATGAGTTTTTAAAATGCGCATTCTGTATTTCGTGAATGAGTTTTTAAAATGCGCATTCTGTATTTCGTGAATGAGTTTTTAAAATGCGCATTCTGTATTTCGTGAATGAGTTTTTAAAATGCGCATTCTGTATTTCGTGAATGAGTTTTTAAGATGCTCATTCAGTATTTTGTGAGTGAGTTTTTCAGATGCACATTCTGTATTTTGTGAATGAGTATTTAAAATGCGTATTCTGAATTTCGTGAAAAATTTTAAATGCGCATTCTGTATTTTGTGAATGAGTTTTTAAAATGCGCATTCTGTATTTCATGAATGAGTTTTTAAGATGTGCATTTTGAGTTTCGTAAATGAGTTTTTAAAATGCGCATTCTGTATTTCGTGAATGAGTTTTTAAGATGCGCATTCTGAATTTAGTGAATGAGTTTTTAAAATGCGTATTCTGTATTTTGTGAATTGAAGGAATAGAATTACAGTCAAATACTTCTTTTGAATAACATATATGTGTTCATGCTTATTATGCATATGTGTATGTGTTTGCTTGAACCATGATAATCTAATAAGCTCACGCAGTAATATGCTGAGAGATTCTGTTTGACCTTAAAATGAGACAGGAACTTTCCACCCCTATAATGTCAAATAACTAAATCTGTAACTAACAAGTCTTGCAGAAAGCATCTGGGTTGCAGCTGTAATGTGTGACTTTTCTATACAGAAAGGAGATGATGATGTCTCCTGATATAGCGTACTTCTACTTAACCCCTGTTATAATGTGTTTCTAACTAACTGCTAAAACCACAAGAGCTGTGTGTGGGCGCTGGCTGGAGACCTGTAAAGGGGCTTCCCCTAGATGGGTGCATACACAGGTCAAGAGTTCATAGACAGGACTAGGAGGAAAAGCAGATGTGGGTAGATGCAGCATTTTTATACTGCTCTGTGTGTATGCGTGATTAATGATGCTTTAATAAAATTGATATTATCCTGATATCTCTATAAGAAAGTTATGATGCTCAGCTGTCCTTTCATGATTTTTTGCTACAGTTGCTTGCTGCACCCCAGATGTCAGTAAAATTGTGTCAAGTATGTCAAGGAGGAGTGATACTTTTCACTTGCCGTTTTGTTTCTGTGTGCAGAGGTATCTCTGTGTGCAGACCACAGATTTTTGAGAGATGATTCTGTCTGAGAACAGCTGATGGGAACAACAGAGATTGGGGTTAACTGCTCGGAGAAGTGACCAAGGAGATCTGGCGCTGCTGATAAATAAAAGGATGGAGGCCAAAGAGTTCGGGAGCTTTTGGACATCCAGATTGCTTGGCTGACGGTTCTTCAAAGATCCTGATCCAGGATCCTGATCTTCACTTTATTCACTTATGCTCGATAAATAAATTGATTGATTTTGATTTATTGACTCCTGACCGATTATTGAATTGGGGTGGACTAAGAAAAGTGAGAAATAGTCCATCAGAATGAGTTTTCAAAATGCGCATTCTGTATTTCGTGTAACTGTTAGATACTTTTTTTTTTAACTTTCTATTTGTTAATTGTAAAATTAAAATGTCATATAGCCTTATAATTACATACAGCATTTTATTTGTTTGTTTTGTATTATTTTATTTATTTATTTCCAATTTAAACTATTTATTTATACTTTTTTATAGTGGGCTGTAATGTTTACGAACTACTGTTAAAAAAAAATTACGAACTGGCTTCAGTAATTATGATTAACTTTTATTACAGCTGAAAGCTTGTTAAATAAAAAAGTTATCGCAATAAGTTGTTACAGGTTGCCTATGATGCAGACGTTAAGATTTGTTGCATGCATGGTAGGTCAATACGTTTTTTGTATTACTCTTTAACTGAAAAATAAAAATGTTGTCAATGTTTTGACCATGAAGTTTTTGCTTTAGGCTATGAATTAATAAAAATAAAAGTGTATTGAGAAGGATTTCTTTGTGTCTTTTTAACCAGTGTTGTTTGAACCACCGTGTTACAACCTCGTTGATGTTAGTCTAGGCTAGGGTAAAAGGAATAATATTTAAAAGGTGTGGTATTTTCACAATGTAAGGGTGTAAGCCAAAGACACTTGACAGAACTGCCAACAAAAGTGATTTAATGTTCAAAAAGTGCAACCAGAATATTGTCCAAGTATATACAAAGAGAAATATTAACAATTTAAAAAATTATATAATAAAGTGGCAAATTCAAACAAAGTATCAAACAAACAGTTAAACTCAAGAGTAAGGGGAGGATAGGGAAACCAAACAAAAGAAAGAAATATAACAAAACAATATTAACTCATAAATAACCCCTTACCTCGCTAGAAACTGGTAAAAAGAAATGTCTTCAGCACTGTGTGCGACATTCTTCCCTAAACTGAACTGTAGAATAAAATAAATACAAAGATGACGTTCACCTCTTACCTGATGTCTTTAACAATTTTCTACGTGTTTGAAAAATTTAAGTCGTACGACATTTTCCCTATTCACCTTACTCTGAGAAAAGAGTGAACTTGAGGAGGTATAGCTTAATATGACAGGAAGAGCGGAGCCAAAAAGTAACAAACAAATCAATCTAAATAAAAATGTACAAAAAATCACAATGTTTCTCAAAATGGGCAAAAGTAATGCAAAATAATTTTGCCCAAACGAAAGTTGAGCAAAAACGATGAAAATCATTATCATGTCAGCAAAAACACACAGAAACGAGATCAAAGGAAAAAGCACTCTTTCCCACTCTTCCTGGCATCCTTTCTGTATCCTTTCTGGCACCACGTTACCTAATGACGATGGACTGGTCTCCCAACTAATCAGCTGTCGCGAAGGCGGACCTCTGGTAGTCGAGTAATTCGAGTATTGTTTAGAAAAGAAATCGATTAGTAAAAATCAGTAGTCGTGCAACCGCTAGTTTACATATTAATACAACATTATTAAAGAGCCCTTGTTATAGGCTTTTGAATATGGCCTTCCTTGTAGTGTGTAAAACAGCTCTAAGTGAAGTCAAATATCTAGCTAAGGCTTAAATCTGAAAGTGGACAGTGTTTAAAGCTATTGATTCATTTATAAAAGAGTCGACTTCTAATACTTCAAATGAATCATCTTGATAACAAGTCTTTAGCCGTTTCGGCGTGATGTGGATACGCAACTTAAGCTTCACCCAGTTATTGCGCACGCAAACCCGGGAAAATTGAAATTTGCACTTCCGCTCACAAACACAGTACTCAAAGTACAAAAAAGAGGCTAGACACACACGATAGCAGACGTCGGTTAAATCAACTCTGTGCTCTCCTAGATATTATTGGAAGTGTGAGGGGAAAGTTAGTGCTATTTTCTCTACCCAAAGATGAATTTGGAATGAATCTTCTGGAATCTACACGCTTTCAACAGAGAATTCATCAGCCGTTTGTTAAAGGAAAGATCAGAAAAGACTATTGATGGAAGGGACATGGATCAGTGGATCATGGATCAGTTTCTTTCCTTCATTTCACAAGTGTAAGTGGGATTAAAATGGTTGCCAAATTATGTATTACTTATGTTTTGTTACTTGTAACCTCTTGTACTGTATCATGTTAACCCTTTATATTCTCATATCGCGTCAAATTGCACGTTGAAAATGTGACGCTTGCTGATTTGTTTACAGATTTCAATGCATTTGTGAGCTTGCGTTCCCCTGCTGCTTGTCATTGCTATGGCCATTGTCAGCTGTTCTTACACTGGAGCAAGCTGAACTGGCGCTCTAGGTGAACAGCGATCATGCCATCCTCAACACGAAAGTGAAAAAGAAAGTGACCAGTTTGCAGATGAAAGTAAGGACCGGGGGGTTCGCTGATGCTGCCCTCACTAATCTGCTGCCCATGGCGTCCTACTAGGTTGCCTTTATGAACATGCCGGCCCTGATAACACTGGTGAAAACATGGTGTGCTATTGTGTTAGTATCTACTAAGAAGTGTGTTTCAGGCGGCCACTGCGATTGGATCCAATACCAATGTTAGCGACCACAGTTGGGTTCCAGCGACCATATCAAATGCTGAGGAGGTTTTAATTACAGGAGCGTTCCAGGATAAATAACAAATGAGTGGGTGGCTGGAGCTGGGTCGGAAATACGGGAGACTTCCAGGGAAAAAAAAGGAGTGTTGGCAGGTATGCTCACATAAACACTATACACTCTGACTACTTCAATATTATTGATAAGCCGTGCTGGGCATTTTACTCTGTCTCGAGCTGAGCGCTGTCGACCAATCTTCAACTTCAATAAGCAATAAGGTTTGGGAACAAACGAATCGCTGAACAATTCATATGAGAGTCGCTGGGATAATTAGGCAAAAATAAATGCAGATTATACGACCATGAAAGTGTTTTTTGACCTTGCATGCATATTAGACTATTGTTGGAGACCCTTACAACCAAAATATGACTCTATTGCATGTATAATAGGGCTCTTTAATGTACTGTTATTGCAAAGCTTTACCCAAAAATATCTGATATAACCACATTTACTGTAACAATAATTTTTATTTGGCAGTCTCTTCCAAAAATCTCCTTTATATATATATATATATATATATATATATATATATATATATATATATATATATATATATATATATATATATAAGGTTTGGGAGTCTTGAAATGCCTTTGTGTCACATACAAAGTTCAATCGTATGCCTTTTGAGGCTTTAAAAAACCTATTGAATTGGGTTTTGATACTGATACTGTTATTGTCTCAGAACTAGAGGACAATAAAAGTAAAGTTTATGGTCTACAAATTATGCAAATTGTAAAAATTTTTGTTTCTACCATATTTCACTATCATACAATAATGCATACTCACATTTCTATCTGGAAACCACACAAGTGGAGACAAAGAAAAGCCAGGGCATGTGTTGTTGCTTTTGGCACGTTTGTCTCTTAAATCTGTACCCCTATCCCATACAGTTATAACTCTGCAACCCTTTCCTACCCCATAAGCTGGGGATGAGGAAGTCTGTCCACCACAAACTGCCTGCAGCAAAATTGTATGTTAATCAGATTCAGAAGCAAATCATAAAAACCACAAGATCAAAGCAAATCCAGCTTGGAATCTGCATGCAAGGGGCAAGATAAAATAGTACAGTGTCACGAATGTGGATTCCACCTGGGCCAAAACTCTTTTCAAAGGACTGGTTTCAGCCTGGCTCGTCTGATAATTCAGTGTCCTAAAATAAACCGATGACCTCAATCAGCAACCATATGACAGTTAAATCAGAAAACTTGTGTATATGATTTAAATGTGAACACCTATGTATTTTGTATTTAGACCTACATATTTATATGTGTATAAAAAGAGGTGATCAGAAGTGGCAAGATACAACAAAAAAAATAAAATGGGTACTTAAAAATTGTTCAATTAAGGCATACTGTATGTCCAAAATAGAGCTTTTGAGATATCAGAACTGTTCCCTACTAATAAAACAGCTTAAACCAGCCTAGGCTGGTTGGCTGGTTTTAGCTGGTCAACCAGGCTGGTTTTAGGAGGGTTTTGGCCACTTCCAGGCCTATCTCCAGCCATTTCCAGCCTGGTCTTAGCTGGTCAGGCTGGGAGATGGGAGCAGGGCCGGATTAACCAATGGGCCTTATGGGCACAGGCCCTTGGGCCCGTGCGCACTAGGGGCCCCTGTGAGGTGGGAAAAAAAAAAGACAATTTTGGGGTGTCTTTTTAGGCTAATTGCAAATAGCGCATCTAGTTGGAATTAGCTATCCAGAGTTTACGCCCATCGATGCCTGATTGATAGAGCCGATATAAGTAAAGAGCTGTGTATTGTTACAGTGCACCTTGTAAGGCGCATAGCATCATCTTTTGACACGATTGAAAATCAACTCAGTTCGAATCCACCATCAGCTGAACTCAGCTGAACCCATTACATACCAGATTGAAAATATATTTATTTTTAACAGAAAGAAAACATTTTTTAAAAATAATGCAAATGTGATATAAAGTCACAAGTGTCTCGTGGGTATTTAATAATTTTTAGCCTTATTATAGGTGCCTCCCTCTCTGCAAAAAGCTATATTGCTCAGACTGTATTTCCTCTGAGCAAAAATAATCGCGATACCATATTAATATTATTATTATATTTAAATTGCCTTTCTTTCTTTAACTAAACAGAATGTTGTAATGGGTCAAGCGCGGAAACTTCAGTTTTGTAATAACCCGCACTAAACTGAGCGGACTGTAGTGTAACGTTATATCTGTCATAGATCAAAAATGAGTGGACAAGTGGATTTAGCAAACGCGAGAGAAAGAGGAGAGGAAGCATCTTTGTTGAGGCATTTTCCTTATACACCATCTTTAAACAGACCCATGATCAGGAGAATGAGGGTACAGAAGAAGACGTTATGGTAACTCCACACGGATGTAAGCA